GAGAAGTCTTGTCGACGAGATGTAGAAGCCCATATCCAAAAGGTGGTAATAGAGGAAGGTCAAAGTCAAGAGGCCGTCACTAGTTAACGAAGAACTAGTGTGCGTTATGCAAGGAACAAAGGCATTGGAAAATAGACTGTCCAATGATTAAAGAGAAGGAGAATGGTAAGAAAAATGGCCCGAAGGCTAATGAGGTTAATGTTGCGAAAGGAGATGATTCTGATGATTCAAGCTTTTCTCTTTTGATTACTTCAGAGGTGAACCATTTGGATGCATCGGATTGGATGCTTGATTCTAGCGCTACTTATCATGTGACCCCTAGGCGAGATTGGTTTGCATCTTTTAAGAGACTCGATGAGGGTGTTATTATCCTGGGAAATAATTAATCCTATGGCATTTGTGGGATAGGTACTGTGAGGATTCGGATGCATGATGGAGTAGTTCATGAATTGAAGGAGGTGAGATTCGTTCCTTAGCTAAAGAAGAATCTTATCTCAGCTGGAGTTTTGAAGGCAAAGGGGTTTAAGGTGACATTTGAAGACGCTGTAGCAAAGGTTACTAAGGGATCTTTAGTTGTGATGAAGGGAGTCCGCAGTTAGAATTTATATTAGCTGAAGGGGAGCACTGAGGTTGGCCATGCTGCTTTAGTTATTTCAGAGGCGGACATGAGCAGACTTTGGCACTATAGGTTGGGACATACAGGAGAGAAGTCACTTCAGGCTTTGTGCAAGCAAGGGTTATTGAAAGGAGCCAAAAGTGGAAAAGTTGAGTTCTGTGAGCACTGTGTTCTTGGCAAGAAGACGAAGGTAAAATTCAGGACAACCATTCATAGGACGAGGGGCATCCTAGATTATGTGCACACAGATGTTTAGGGTGCCACCAAGACTATATCACTTGATGGTAGACATTGGTTCGTCACGTTTGTTGATGACTATTCTAGGCATTATTGGGTGTACACCATGACAAATAAGAGTAAAGTCCTAAATATATTTGTGAAGTGGAAAAAGAGGTTAGAACTGCAGACTAGGAGAAAGATCACGACGTTGCGATCCGACAACGGTGATGAGTACACATCAGACCCCTTTCAGCAGCTATGTCAAGACGAGGGCATAGAGAGACACTTCATAATTAGTCATACACCATAGCAGAATGGGGGTGGCAGAGAGGTTAAATTGGTCTTTACTGAAGAAGATCCGATGTTTGTTGGCGCATAGTGGTTTGGAGAAGATCTTTTGGACTGAGACACTTTCATATGCGAGCCACCTCATTAACAGGCTGCCTTCATCTATGATTGAGGGGAAGAACCCTTTGGAGATGTGGTCAGGAGAACCAACACACGACTATGACCAACTCAAGATTTTTGGGTGCCCTACATGCTATCATGTGAAGACTGATAAGTTGGAACCTTAAGCTAGGAAGACCATATTTGTAGGATTCAAGCATGGTGTTAAGGGATACAAGATTAGGGATCCAGTTGATAAAAAAATTGTGCTAAGTAGAGATGTCACGTTTGATGAGGCTTCTATCTTGAAGCTTCCCAGTTCTCATCAGGTGGAGAGCGACTCGACGAAGAAAATATCATAGGTGGTAGAGATCGATGTAGCTCTACATTGTCCAGATGATACAGTGTCCATTACAACGCTGACTGAGGTGACGCCAAGCGAGCACAACGACGACGAGGAGGATACGAGTACAGTTGTGAAGTATCAGGGACCGACGACTCAGGTTCAGGATTCTATTACGGTTCAGAGACAGAGGAGAGACATACAGATGCCAGCACGGTATACCGGCACAGTAGTTGCGTATGCACTTCCAGTGGAGAGTATCGATGAGATGATGCCTACTACATTCAGAGAGGCCGAACAGAGTTCGGAGTCTGATTCGTGGCAGGTGGCTATGCAGGAGGAGATGGAGTCTCTTCACAAGAATGATACATGTGAGCTTGTTGAGCTTCCAAAGGGGTGGAAGATAATTGGTTGCAAGTGGGTGTACACGAAGAAGGAGGGCATTCAGGACACTCCAGTAAGGTTCATGGCTAGGTTGGTTGCGAAGGACTATACACAGGAGGAAGGTATTGATTATAAATAAGGTTTTCTCTCCAGTGGTAAAGCACTCTTCGATTCGAATTTTGCTAGCTTTGTTGTCACAGTATGGATAAGAGTTAGATCAGTTGGATGTAAAGATGATATTTCTTCATAGTGATCTTGATGAAGAAATATATATGACTCAGCCATTAGGATTCCAAGCTGTAGGGAAGGAAAAACTAGTTTGCAGGTTGAAGAAATCTCTATACGGTTTGAAGTAGTCTCCTCGACAGTGGTATAGGAAATTCGATGGTTTTATGCTTGGTCATTCGTACACTCGGAGCCAATTTGATCATTGCGTGTATTTTTGTAAATTGAAAGGAGGTGCGTACATCTATTTTTACTCTATGTTGATGACATGTTGGTTGCCTCCATTTCCAAATCTTCTATAGATGAGTTGAAGGCACAACTTTCAAAGGAGTTTGAGATGAAAGATTTGGGTGAGCCTAAGCACATTTTAGGGATGGAGATTGACAGAGACAAAGAGAATGAAAAAATTTGTTTGACACAGGTGGCTTATTTGAAGAAAGTTCTACAACAATTTCATGTTAGTGTGGATACAAAGCCAGTTAGTGTACCTTAGGGAGCTCATTTGAAGCTTTCAGCTGACCTCTCACCGAAGATAGTTGAAAGTCGAGAGTTGATGTTGAAGACTTCATATGCGAGCGCGGTTGGGAGCTTGGTGTACACGATGGTATGTATGAGATCGGATTTGTCACAGGGGGTGAGCATGGTTTCGAGATATATGAACGATCCAGGAGTGGATCATTAGGACGCCGTGAGATGGATTTTGAGGTACATTCGAGGTACTCTCAATGTTGGTTTAGTTATTGAGCGGGACACTAGAGATGGGAAGTTGTGTATTGGCTATGTTGATTCAGATTATGTCGGGGATTTGGATAAGCGCCGGTCTACTACGGGGTATGTGTTCACTTTGACCTATATGCCGGTGTGTTAGAGATGCACCTTACAGTCTACGGTAGCTTTGTCTACGATGGAGACAGAGTATATGACGATAACAGAGGCTGTGAAAGAGGCTATTTGGCTTCGATGACTTTTGGAGGAACTTGGTATATCGTAACGGTCCGTTACTATTCATTATGATAGTATGAGTGCTATCTATTTAGCGAAGAATCAGGTTTTTCATGCGAGAACAAAGCACATTAACGTTCGTTATCACTTTGTTCGAAATGTTCTTGAAGACGACGATGTGAAGATTGTGAAGGTCCACACGAAGGATAATCCGGCGGATATGCTCACTAAGGTGGTTCCGAGCAACAAGTTTGATCATTCTAGAAGCTTTTGCACATTCGTAATTGTTGAGGCCATTGACGACCATTTGGATGAACTACGGGCGGCTTGATCCCTTGAGAGAGGGGGTACGTAGGCAACCATATTGGTGCAGCCGAATTTGGTGAGACAACGCATTGGTGCTCATGTTGGTGTCGGCTCAGTTTTGGGAATACTTCGCTGAGGTGGAGAATTATTAGATAGCAAGTTCCTAATCTATTTTGGTAACAAGTTATTAGGACTCCTAATCTATTTTGGTAACATGATTCTTAATCTGTTTTGGTAACAGGTTATTAGGATTCCTAATTTGTTTTATTTTTTGTTTTAGAATTCCTAGTCTGTTTTGATTTTAGGTTTTCTATATATAAGGAACGCCTTAGAAGAGATTAGGATCAAAAAAAAAGAGGAGAGTTGTAATCAGAGATTAGAGAGACTTTTGAGCATTGTGAGAGGGAGATATTGTGAGCAAGTTGAGAGCTTTGGTTGAGGGTTAGTTTATGAGTTTTGTGAGATTGTAACCCTTTGTACTCTCCTTGATTTAGTGAAATCTTCCCATCCTCTCCCCGTGGATTTAGGTAAATTACTGAACCACGTATATCTCTGTGTTTCTGATTGATCTGTCGTATTTTAGTTTTGGATTGTGCTCGTGTGTGATTGGTTATTCTTCTCCCGTGCTTACGACTTGTTTGGTGAGCTAGCACGCTTCCGCATAGGCGCGTGACACTTGGACCATGACCTTAGCTCTGATACCACTTATTGGGGGATAAACCAGGCAAAATCTAGAGTTGATAGGCCTTAAACAGAAGTTAGGAATCAATTTTAACCCAAAAGCTATAGCCATCAAGTATTGACCCAAACTTCTATTTAAACTCATCACTCTTTCTTATCTTATCCGATGTGGGACTATACTCACATATTAATCACCTCAACATTTCTAAGCCAGGATTATGTGCACTCCACTTAGGCATGTACGACGTGCTTGTTGAGTGAGGTGCGACAAGCTTAACATGATTGGCGATTGCTAGGTCAAGATCTGTATTATGAAAACGGACATGTTCATATCTTATGTACTATGTTGACCATTAGTTGTGGTAGGTGAATGGATCCTTACTTCAGTATTGCATATGTAAGATACTACATGAATGTAGCATTGCCATTATTTGTATCGAGTAGTCACCTCCAAATACCTGGAATTGCAGTTTAGAAGAAAGCTGTAGGGCTGTTATATTTTATGTATAAAGCAACAGTAAGGCCCAAATTGATCTCATTGCTATTTAAATCAGTCCAAAACTGAATTTACTCCAGTAATTCAGTCAAAATATCCACTAAATTCGTAAATATTTGTATATTAAATCTCGCAACTGAAGCCAAGTCCAAAACTAGGAAATGGAATATGTGAGACAGAGAGAGAGAATTTCATACACACATTTCTCTCCGTCTATTGCTAGAGGCTAGAGGCAGCAAAGTCTACCAAGCATTGTGACTAGACAGGATTAGTTGCTGAGACATCTCACAACATTTAAGACATCAACAAACGAAAGCA